GGGGGGGGAGAGAGCTGCTACCAATCAGCCAGCATTTCACTGCTGTGCTGTTTTAGGCTGATGAATGACTGATGACTTCTATTGATTCATGATCACTGCTGCACTCTGCACTGCCTTAATATGCCTGTATTATCTAATGGCCAGTGAGGTCTCACTGACAGAACAAAAGCAGCATTTATGAACTGCAAAATATTACAGATGGTAAAGATTAGCTGAGTAATAATGATCACATGGATGGCAGGTGTATTTGGAGGAAAGCATCATTTGATGGTCTATTGATTTTCATCTGAGTGGTGCCCAATTAAAGTACTGTGCTTGTCACGGTTGGCTAGCTGCATCATTAAGAATATGGCTAATTCTGACCATGATGATCAACATATGACAAGTTTTCTTAAGCAACAACTGTCTGTGGCAAAGACAATACATACCAGCCTGTAAAACATTGATGTTGGTCAATGTAGGCCACTTACCAATAAAACTTAAACAGGCAGCAGTTAAACATTTTTTAAAAATATGTACCCTTATGAGAACTCAAATTTAGCAGCCAAACTGGTACTTAGCCAATCATACTAAAAGTACATTGTCAGATCGGATTTACTGCATAATTGCACCATGCTGGAAGATAAACACCCGGGATTGTAATTCGAGTCTCCAAACTAGAAGCATAACACAACAATCAACCCTGCTCTTATAAAACTAAATAGCCAACACACTTCACTTATTCATACACACGCACACACACTAGTAAACAGAGTCTTTGTATCCTTCTGTACCAAACACGCATATGCTCACAGTTTAGTTAATACAGCAATCAGGAGCCAAGCTGTTTTTTTTTTTCAATCACTTGAAGGGCATTAACTAAACAGCTTACAACAATATATAGTACAGGCCTTTGTGGCCAACTTGCACTTTGCTGCAAAGACACCATCCAGTACATTCATTTGATTTAAGTATACGTATCACCTGTACAAAGAGAATTGGCAATTTTGTTGGTGCAACCAATTTACATATAGCAAATCACTACAGTTAAATATTTTTTAGTGCACTGACAGAAAATAAATGGATATTGGTTTAGTCCACTATTAGTCATTTCGATTATGTATAGGTGACGAGCACACTAACATGGCATATATTATAAATGGAGAAAACAGTTTGCCTAAAGCGAGTCACTGACCACTCCCCACTTCAATTCCAGTGGTTCAAATTCGATGACAGTATCATTTAGTCAAACATGCACATATCAGTAGGAGATATTAAGTGCTGTAGCAATTAAGGATAATTTGCTTTGGTGAAGTGATCTACCATAAATGTAAATTGTAAGGCTTGCCTCCACAGCATGACACTGTACAAATCACACCTAAATTACCTCACATTTTCACTATTTAAAAAGTTAATCTGAGAGAAAAAATGTTTAGTTGAAGCACACATAAATCTATTCAATATATGGGGGGAATTTTTTTGTTGACCCCACATGGTGTCTTTAGTGAAAATGCTTGGCCCACGAAAGGTCAAGAGATGCTTATAGGCAGCATAAGGCAAATGCAGAGTAACACACAATTCTGTTCCCACTGGCTGCTGGTATTGCTCAGTTAAGGAAACATCTTAGTCTATAAGCATTCTATCCCAATAGTACAAATTAGCAATAACACGATCCTCATAAAATGCCTAGCTAGAGAGGCACTACAAAGTCTATAGTGACAGGCTCCATCAAACCTGAAATGGAGTGCGCTTAAAAAACTGTTAACGGTCCAAGCCATTACACAAGGCTATTCAGTATCTGGCACTGAATGCCAAACCCAAATTAATGCAAGCAGTGTTGACTCGGTAAACCAATTTCTAGGCTATACTGCAGAAAACTAGCAAGAAATTTGCATGGATTGATTGTAGGAAAAAGAACAAACATGTAAGCACCCAGTGGAAACAAAAATGTACTGCAACTTTAAAGGAAAGGCTAAAATATCCCCCATTTCAAACACTACCGCCCCACTGCTCATATACATGCTACATACATTTTGTAAGAAATCTTAGGGTAAATATCATTTAGAATCTTCTCCCAAGTGGTCACATGCCTGCAAAGTTTTGGCTCTTCTGTGTAGATGTGACAGTGGACAACGGGGCTGAATTGCACAGAGCCGTGACCTCACCCAAGGCTTCCACTGTTCTAGCCATTGTTGGTAGAGAAGAGGGTTCCCTCCCAAAAGCTGCTAATTTACACTGAGGAACCGGAGCTTTGGAGTCACATGACCACACTTATAACAATTCACACAATTTTACTTAAAATAAACATTATAACCAACGTGTGCCATTAAAATGCATTAATTAAACGGTATCCTTCTTCAAAAGTGTAAATGGAACGGTCCGCTAGGACTATGAACGAGCAATATACTGCATATGTTATGGAAACATTTCTCACCCACAGAGCACCTACAAATAATCCAGTTAAATGTACCAGTGAGTGGCAGCCATTCTGTTAAATGAAATAACATTGGTAAGAATGCAGCCAATCCTTTTATAAAGAATATCAGCAAATCAAATTTAGTACGACTCTGTCATCTAAGAGTCTACTGGGAACGGTTATTTTCATTCTCAGAAATATCACGTGCTAAGCTGACAAAATGTTTGTCTTATGTAGATGATATGTGCATGTTAACAGGACATTAGACTGCCTTATATGTGTTTTGTTGACAATATTGAACAGACCCCTGTGTACACTGGTTTGTGTGATACGCATACATACATTTATACAAGCTTAATTTTCAGTTTAACATGAAAGCAACCAAAATAACACTATATTAAACAGCTAATAGACTGGAAGCTAAGGACAATATGGGGGGAGAGGTCAGGATTAAACATTCTCAGAAGGTGTGCGATGTCAACTATGAATGTTTTTTTTTTTTTTTTTTAAAGAAAGCAAAAAAAAAAAATAGATCACACAATGAAAAATGGAACCCAGTGCAAACTTGTATTACAGGATTGGATGACATTTACACAAAAAACACAAAGAAAAAATAAAAATTATATTATTTACCCTTATGATAACACTCATAGTAAAAGCAAAATATCGGAAAGTTGTATTTTACTTAAACAGTTTAATGGCAATTTTAAAAAGGTGCAGATTGGTAATATGCCTGTTATGAAAAGGAGCAAAGTATTTAGCAGCAGATTAACCTAACTGGTATCGTCATTCCTTAGCCATTTCAAACGGTTTTGAATGTCCAAATCTGTTTAGTACAGCTCCACCCATAAGACTATTCTTAAGCTTAGCTCACATGGTGCATTTTGTTAGTGCTCTGAGGACAACTTGCATTGAAATGGTTTTATGATGTCACATGGGGATAAAAAAAATCAAAAAAAATCAGTGCAAGTTGGAAAGCTATGCTGGTGCCAAAGTTGCTTGACCCAGCCCAGTTAGAGAGTCAGAATGCATGGCAAATGCAATTTGAAATTTAGCTAAGGCAGTAAAAAAAAGCAAAAGCTTAGAGCAGGTATATAGGCTTTTGTCACAGGTAGGTAGAGCAAGGTCTGCAGCACCTTCAAAACACAAGTGAATTAAGCCTATCATCAATTTCCAATGCTACAGAGTGACCTTTGACCTCAAACCCTGACTGACTGCGCTTTATGTGCGCATCAAGTGCTGTAACTGCATTTCTGGAGTCTGCTAGGCTGCATTTTCCAACTGCATTATAACACTCACATTTTAATTTTCATGCAACAATGACGTTTTTAAAATCTTTAAGTGCCACCAGTAGGAGATCTGGATCTCAGACTTTTGTACTGGACATTAACCCTTCCGTTACATAATTATAGGCCTCTCTGGCAGCAAAGACGACATTGAGATCCTGCTGATTTAATGCACTGTCATATGCAATAGTCAGAGGAACAAAGTAACAAAAAAAGGGCTTTATCAGAAAAACAAAAACTAACAAGTGGTGGGGAGGGTATGCGTTTGGAAATGATCTGCCAACTCACTGACTTGTACATCCTCAAAAGCATTGTCTGTAGACAGCTGTAAACCGCCATAAGCATAATCGTGGATAGTAACATTAAGTTTGTGTAGGTGTAAATCACACAGTCAATATTGTGAAGTGGCCAGACCGCCAATATAGAATGTATGATAGAACTGGATTATTCTTTGTTAGCCACTTCAACATCTTTCCCCTCCACATGAAGCTGGAAAAGAAAACAGGAGCTGTGCTGCCACATCTTGCCTTGAAATGTTAGATAAATGCAGGTTAGAGAAGTATTCCCATTCACTTACCCTGAATACAAACAGCTGTGTGAATGGCTAAAACATTTTGCTCCTACTGTGAACATCAAAGTTATAATGTGCAACATGTTGCAGTCCACTCTGGCAGCAAACATGTTTTTTAATACCCCTCCTTCCTGCATTTTCAGTAATAACTTTTTGCACCAACTTAATTTGCTTTCAGCAGTCCCAAAATGCCATGGTTTAAAAAACAAAAACAAACGAACAAGAAAAAAACAAACCACTCTGCGCTCCCTACCCCTCCCAGCACAAAATGACTCTTAAATGGTAGGTTTTGTGAATTCACATTGTCTTTCAACATTGGCTTTCATTATTCAAGTATTTCAAGACTGATATGTGTTTTTAGTCCATTTTTTGTTTTTCTTTCATTTTTCTACATCTCCCTCCCCCCAGACCCATGTTTTCAGGATCCCTCCTTCCCCCATTTCTTCTGATCTCCAATTGGGGGAGGAAGGAATTCGCAAGCACAAAAAAGAAAAATGTAAAAGGTAAAAAAACAAAACAAAAAAAGAGAAAAAATGCAACCACCTTGAAAGCAACCGCAGGTTTTTGTAACATTAGCGATCGAAGTCTTAACTTGCACCCACCTGATTTAACTATCGGTTTTCTTTTTTTCTCTTTTTAGTTAAAATGTATTTATTGCAAGTTTGAAAAAAAAAAAAAAAAAAAACACACAAAAAAGGTCAAGTTAGTGCTGCTGCTCTGAAAGGTCACGAGGTCAGAGTTGAAAGTTCAAAGTTCATATTGAGTCGGTCCCTCCTCCCAAAAGATCACCGGGTAGCAAAGGAGCAGGGCTGCCCATCCGGTGGGCGTCCTCCGTGTTGGGCACCCCCCACAGGCTGGATGTGTAGCTTGGAGTACCCCAAAGAGACACGCCTGGCAGGTCACTACCACCGCCACCACTGCTCCACTGTCCCAGCCCAGTGGTCCCTCCGAAAAGGTTTAGGGCTGGCCCTACCGATTCAGCCTGATGGTTCTGTCCCACTTCCAATGGCTGCCAGCCTGCGCCAGGAGCAGAAGGTGTTGGTGGTTGAGCTTGTGCAAGATAACGGCTCACCTCTTCATCCGTTGCAAATTCCGCCAGGATGGTCGTATTACCCAGGACGCACCTACAATGGAGGAATGGACAAGGAAAACAAAGAAAAAAAATATTAATATTTATAAATAGTTATATAGTTAAAAAAAATTAAAAACACAATTTGTGAGGGAAAATCCAAAACATTGAGTTGTGACCAGAATAGGGATAGGTGGGAAATCTTTCAATGGAGACACTTATTCAGATAACAAATGTCCAAGGGGGGATTCCCTGACTTCCTTTAACTTTCTGTTGTGTCTATTGGACAGGGAGTGAAAGCAAATCACCCCCACAAGGGACACATTTAAAAAAAATTAAAAAGCTGACAGGTGTTTCTTAATCTTCCCCTACTCCACACATAACCATAAAAAGTTTTGGCTTCATATATACTTTAAAGTTACAGAAGTCTTGTACTGTGGAAGCTGTGCTCAACAATGGCAACCGGAGAACAAAGAATGTAAAAGTCGGTCCTTATACTGGCTTGCCATGCATTGTTCCACACTGTCTGTGTTGGGGCAACAATTTTTATAGTGCAGGGGTTTCCTTCCTTATGTCAGTACTGTCTGGTGATCTATGACTGGTAGGGTATTGATCAAGAAGCAGTAGCAGAAGTGGAGAAAACACAAATCTACAGAATGAATGAAGCAGTAGACAGAAGCATGCACTGAGGGTCTACAAGTGCAGCTTTCGCTCCTTTCATCCTAAGCAAGTGCTCAGGAGAACAGTGAGCAACACAGTAATGACACCAAATCTCACTCCCAAGTCTCATATGGTCAGCAGTGAGAAGCAGCAGTACCTTAGATGATCTCACACTGCAGATATATATCTATAAGGGTGGAGAACAGGGGTGCCCAGGAACAGTCATGTGCCAGAAAGCCCACTATTTGTTGGGAGGAATTCAAAGGAAAAGGCCGGACATATTACATTCTGATAGTAAACCTAATGGAGACTGTACAAATTATTGCATATAGGCTGATTCAGATATTCAGTCCTGTAAACAGACATTTTTCAGCAAAGCAGTTAGCCTGTTAAAAAGTTACGGAAAGATGCACAGACCTCCACCAATTCCAAGTTATGAAAAATATAAAGAAAACATATATATATATATAAGTATTCCTTTCCCATTACCAATTAACAAGTCCTACGGACTTACATGTGCAGGGCGTTCTGGGCCTTGGCTGCCTCCTGTTTGGTGCTGTATCGGATGAGAGCTGTGCCCTGGGTGAGGTTGAGATGGAATGTCAGCAGAGGGCCATGCTGCATGCAGATCGTCCGGAGGGTGGAACCGTCAATCTAGAAAAAAACAAGGCATCACAAAAGCATAATCATTTAACGGCTCTGGAAACACCCAATGGGGGGGATTTGTCAAAACGGGAGCAGACAGAATCTGAAGCAGTTGCCCATGGTAACCAATCAACTTCTCTCTTCAGTTTGATCAGTTAAGCTGTGAAAATGATAGCTAGAAGCTGATTGGTTGGTTGCCACGGCAACTGCTCTCGATTCTGTCCGCTCCAGTTTTGTTAAATTTCCCTCAATGACTTCTTATTCCTGAACAGACTTTAAACAAAACATCTGCAGTTACCTGTGGTGTAAGATTAAGAAGGATCAGCCAGTAACTTGGACGCACAGAACTGCCATCACTCCAGGTAGATCCTATAAATAGATTACTTGTTAAATCAGTACTTCTTTCAAAACCAGACAGATATCCAAATCCAAAACAATTGCATTGATACACTGTAAAATAAACAATGATACTAGACCTGTAATTTGACAGCTGCAGCACTGATACTTGCAATGTTACTGATGTTTGACTCTGGAGTGTCTGTGTTAATATTATCCACCCTAATTCACCAGTAAAAGGATCATGGAACCATGCCCACTTACACTAAGAAAATCTGGTTGCAATTACAAGTGCTTCACCTCTGAGAATAAGAAAGGAACATACTATCGCTAGCCATTTTCATATGGTAGACACTGCTTACAAAACTCAGGCCTTTTATGGTTATATGAAGACAGATGGGTCTATCTTTAACCAGTTGCCGTCCGCCCGTAGAAAAACGGACGGACGGCACTGTCGCAATCGCGGGTTGCCGTCGCCAGACGGCATTTTTTTTCTGCTCGCGCGCGCCCCCTAGCGGGCACGCACGGGCAGAAAAGACCCGTCCAATGCGAACACCCGGTACCGGGTGTTTCACATATAGGCGATCAGCGAGTCCATAGCCCGCCGATCGCCTATATGTGCTCGTTTGCGTCCGCTGATCCCCGTCCGCTGATGTTTGCGTCCGCTGATGCTCCTTGCTGATCCCCGTCCGGGCTGTGAATGCAGAAGTGATGTGTATTACATCACTTCCGCATTCACCTGTCAGTCATCTGGCTGCTATTGCCAGAGAGAAGAAGCTGATAAAGCAGATCTCTGCTTCATCAGCTTCTTTTGGGGTCCACAGGTGATATTAGGGGTCCTAGAGACCCCTAATATCTCCATAAAGAGGACCTGTCAGTGTGCCTTTGCTATTATATTAGGGGATTGTTATCCCCCTATATAATAGCAATAACAATAAGTGCAAAAAAATTAATATAAATAAAAATAAATAAAAGTCACATATAAAAAAGTAAAATAAAATAAAAGTCAGATAAAAAAAAAGGGGAAAAAACCCCCCAAAATGTTTAACTCCCCCACCCCCACGTTTACGCGCCTATAAACGTAAATACGCGTCCAGTGCCCTAGCGCGCAAAAATTACAATTGCGCTACACATGTTACATATCGCCGCGAACGTCGCAGTGAGAGCAATCATTTTAGGGCCATCAATCACTGATAACACTAAACTGATGAGCGGTAACAGCTTTTAAAGCGTCGCCTATGGCCAATTTTGGGTATTATCGTTTTTTGAGGTTTTGCGCGCGCACGCAATTTTAAGGCTTGACATTTTTGGTGTCTTTTTACCCGACGTGACCCCGTCTTTTATATTTTACCAAAAAATTGGGTAATAATAAATGTTTTATCATTTAATATAGGGGAAACTGTTTTTTTTTTTATTTCTGTGATTTTTCCTTAATATAGTAAAAAAATAAAACCCCCAGTGGTGAATAAATACCACCAAATGAAAGCTCTATCTGTCCTCAAAAAAGGGTATACAATTCATTTCAGTACAGCGCTGCATGACGGAATAAATGTCAGTCAAAGTACCGCAGCGCTGAATACTGAAAAATGGCCTGGATGGGAAGGGGGTTTAACACCGCGGATGTCAACTGGTTAATGTTACTAGTTCTGCTTATTCCTAGGTACAAGTTATCACAAGCTGATGAGCAATGACTACAAATATGGCAAGAAACATGTAGTCCTACCACACAAGTCTTTATCAACTTACCAGATGTTATTCGTGAGTCCTGACCACCCCATCCTCTTACAGAGCGAGGGGCTGTGCTGTTCCATGGAGAGTTGGTGGCTTTGGGGTTGTTTGTGAGCCCTGGAGGGGGGCGAGGCAGCCCAGGGCTATTCCTGGACATCTGGTTTTTCCACATCTTGTTTGAGTGATGTGACGGGTTATGTCCAATGGGGTCTGGTGACCAGGTGGATTTATAGTCCCCAAACTTTGCTGAGAGTGCTGTTGGAAAAAAAAATTAAAGGAAACCGGTCATGAGGGGAATATGGAGGCTGGCATTGGTGACCTCAAACTAGTTGACTGACTGCCAAGCTGTTCCTCTGCTTTATTATAAGCCCCTGACTTGGAACAGCCACACAGGTAAAGAGTCTGCACTTTTCTCTGACTTTACTGGTCTTTACACTTGTTTTAAGTCAGTGAATCAAAGGGGTCAATTCACAAAGCTTTTGTTCCTGATTTCACTTGTTATTTAATAGATTTCACACGATATTTAAGCTTGTGCAATTCACTAAACGATTTAACATTTGGAATATCCACCAATTGACGTCTCAGCTCTTATTTTAACAAGCCTAATTGTTAAATATGTACAGATGTGCAATTCTAAGATCTTTTTGGGCCATTTATCAACCGTTATATAAATTGTTACATAAGCACCTCCTTCAGAGTGTTATAACAGTTTTCAGGAGGAATTTTCTGCTCTGAGAGGGAGATTTATGAGGTGAATTGATAACTTTTGGTAGTGAAGCCTCTTTTGTGCAGTTTTTGGAAGATGGAACCATTTGTTTGTTTTTTATTAGATTGAAAAAAAATATTTTATTGTTTTTTTTTGGAGTGGGGCTGTATTTTCATAAACATGTAAACTTCAACAGTTTTACTAAAGTTGTTTACATACAGCAGTGCAGTCTTGAAAATACTGTTTGTCATTTGTAGGCACTGTTCGCCTACCCCTTCTGGTCCCAGAATGCATCAGTCAAACGGATTTTAACACCTTAAACGTTAATTCTATGATTCAAGACGTAAAAATAACGCTTCATTTGCTAAAATAACATTGAACACATAGAAATAACAACTCACTGATGCTTCAGTCAGAAGCCTTAACGAGCCTGCTAAAAAACAATTGGGACTTTTGTGAATACCATGTTTTCAAACGAAAAATAAGGAGAGGAATAAATGAACTGAAAGCGCAAATAACGTTTCCCTTTGTGAATTAACCACAACGTGTTTAAGCCAGATGCTCAGTATCACAGCCAAGGCAAGTACCATTTTTAAGAGTACGCCAGGCCCTATATTTTTCTCATGACAGTATAGTTTTAAAGGTAAATGTAAACTCTAAGGGAGTAGTTTGCTAAAGTACTGTGTATCAAACAACTGGGATTAAAGATAAAAAGCCTTTGTTTTCACCATTTTTTTGTAATCCTTTGTTATCTTGCTTTGCTGATGATCTACCTTAGCCAATTTGTAGCCATTTGCTGTCCACATGCATGCACCCCTGCAAAGGCTGTAATGCATTTTAAGGGCAGGTTTCCTAATGGTAACATTAGTAGGCCTTGCCAGTGCAATAGGTTATAAATGGTCACTTGTAGTCTGCATTGGAAGTCTGTGTGAGAATGCAGTAGCACAAATGGGAAACCGGGTGACCGCCCTGTAGCAGAAGTGCCTGAACAAAGACCTTGAGGCTAGGTTCACACCTGCACGACACCCGGGATGCGCGCCCCCGTATCGTGCAGTCCTGCACAATGCAGGCAGCGATTGCCATGCGGACCCATTGATTTCAATGTGGTACCATCCGCGCGGCAATCGCAGAAAAAAAAGGTACAAGTACCTTTTTTTGGCGATGCACAGCTGTTTTAGCTGCGAGCGTTCCACCCGGCGCGACTGGGGTGCCATTAGAGAATAATGGCACCCACAACGCGATTGGTTCACACCTTGGCAACTCCTGACCGCGCGGCAATCCGCGAAGAATCGCCGAGCGGTGAGGCGTCGCCTAGTTGTGAACCTAGCCTCATGGCAGGGTCACTAGATATTATTTAACCAGTTGTGGACGTTGGACATACTACACAAATCCAAAATAATGTCTTCAAAGTACATAGGACAAGTGTAGCAAGTCCTGGCCTTCTGTCCCTCTACCACTTCCCCTCCTCGCACATGCCAGCAATTCCTGACTCTTACTTTACAAATTAATAAAACTGCTTTTTTTTTTGGTCAAACAACTTTGCAATCTTTTGTACCGGGATTATAATTTTACAGTAATTTCATAGAACAAAATGTATCATTTTCTACAGTGACACACTTAAAAAAAACAAAAACGTGATCAAAGTAGGAAAGGTGCGTTTTTAGTTTTATTACTTTTTGTCTATTGATTACATCAAATAAAATAAAAATATTTTTTAAGACAATGTCACCAAAAGGGAAGACATGTTTGTTCTAAAAACAAAACAAAAAATCCACCACATCAACACATGTATCACTTTGTTATCTGCAGAAATGTTAAACTTGCTCTGGTCCAATGGTGATGTATAGGCCGAGTTGATGTGGTTAATGGAAGCTTTAGATTTAAAATAATTCAAAATGACTTTTTAAATGAAATGACATTAACACGTGAAACCTTACATGAGTTTTTCTTGATTGGTTGATGTACACTTTAAGCACCACATCAATACCATAGTTCTGGTCTTTTTTCGTCACTACCTTGGTCTAGCATATTCTTTAGAAAACAACATAAATTCTCCTCCACATACTGGAAAGCTCCACCAGGCTTATTCAGTAAAGACAACTTCATCTAAGATGCATTTTAGCACGTGCAAACACACGTACATGTATTTATGTAGTGAATTACTCCATTCAATTATTCAACTGAGTTAATGGGGAGGGGGGGACGCAGCAGGATTTTTTTTTTATTGAAGGGATTGCATGTCCCGGTAATTGTGTCAGTCCACACAATAACATACCTGGTGTTTTACAAAGAGTAATTACTATGTACAAAACACAGTAGCCTATATTAACCCAGTTTGATATGACCTTTTAAAGAAGAACTCTGGCGGAAAAAAGTCTTCGATGGTCAGATAACAAATATTATGTCCATAAATACAAAATTGGTACCCTCTTAGCCACTAAACTATCCCCTAAACCTAGAGTTTACACGTTCCCTAAAATTCGATGTACCTCTGCATACATCCAGCAACTGTTCAGGAATTTCACTTGTTTGTCACTAAACTTTATCAGGATAACACTCCAGTCTCATCTCATTCATTGAGATCATTTCTTAGTGAGGTTCACCTTCCACCCCTGTCATTGGATCATTCCATGATTATGGAAGCACCCATCTCAGCACTGGAAATTAAACAAGCTATCAAGCAGGCAATGTGGTATATGGTCCCTGCCAGACTAGCGAGAATATACCCAGAGGTTTCTCCTCATTGTTTTAGGGGATGTGCACACTCGGGCACGATATATCACATATTGTGGTAATGCCCCAAATTGAGACCTTTTTGGAACCAGCTTTATGCTCTAAAGCCGTTTTGTACATAGATGCTGGACAGAAAGTCTTCTATTGATATAGATATGGAGGAGATCATAACAAATTTTTGCTGCAGACATAGGCGGATCCCTAGGCCAGATATTCCTCTCAGACTGTTCTGATTTTTGATTTTAGTGATGGGGGATAAATTGGCAAGAATAGGTGGATAGATATGTTCTGTTGTACAGAACTATTATATATTGTGTGTATGGCCTCTAGTGATCCCCTCCTACTACTTGATTATGCTAATGTGGAAGAAACTGTAATGCAATTGTATGCTGATGATGATTGTGCATCATGTGCTATTTTATTGTACTTTGGAAAATTAATAAAATACTTTGAAAGTTAAAGAAGAACTCTGGGCAACACTTTAACACTTGCGGGTGTAGCTCATTTTGGTCTAGATGCAAAACCCCCCCCCAAAAAAACCAAGTTATACTCACCCAAACCTTGGAGCCATCTGGCTGCTGGACGGGTTCCTTCCAGCTTTTCTCCCCCTCCACTCCAGCGGTCTAAGGATCCTTGAGTCTTCATCTTCTATACAGTGTGTATAGGAAGTGAGGACACAGAGGGACATACCATCACTACAGCAGAGGAGGAGACAGGTCTTTAACACCTGCACATAGACCAAAACGGGCACTTAATCCTTGCAGTGCGGGGGTAGTCCCACTGCAAGGGCTAAGACAATTTTTGCCCAGAGTCCTTCTTTAAAGCAAATCTGTCACTAAAACTGATTGATAAATAAAGCTGCCCCTGCAAAGAACATTGTAAATTGTCACCTCTCCTGCTCCACTAAACTCTGCAGTAGTGAAGAATTCTTGCTCTGGGTTCCTCGTTCGCATTATATGATCCCTTGACACAAATAGAGCACACTGAGGTACAAAGTGGAATACATGAGACCAAAGTATACATGTGACAAAAAACTATAAAGCCACCGCCGATCTCTAGAGAAATCACCAGGCATGCACCGATACCGGTTTTCCCTAGCATGGAGACAGCTTCCTGGGCAATCAGGAAGATGGGTGGCGCCATTACCCACCGCCCGGGCTTCTTGATTGCCCGGGAAGCCGGCTCCATGCTGAATGGCCGTGAAGCCAGCTTCCCAGCAAATTAGCATGGAGACGGGCTTTTCAGCCAATCAGGAAGCCAGGCGACGAGTCATTACCACTGTCCTGATTGGCCAGAAAGCAGACTCCATGTTTCCTCACGGCATTGCCGGTCAGAGGAACTCTCTCTCTCTCTCTGCCTGGACGTTACGGTATCGGAGGTAAGTATCTAAGCATTTGAGCGAGTATGAGTACTTGCCCAAATACTTGGTATCGGCACCGATATTAGTATCTGTATCGGTGCATCCCCAGAAATCACCCTCTGAAACGTCAGAAACTGACACTTCCAGGTGTGTTAGAGATCTGGTCCTCTTCTTTTGCTCAGTAGTTCTACCCACCAACCCCTATATTACTACTGTGTCCTGTAGTGATGCAGCAGGAAGCACTAAGCACAGCGAGGAACAGAGGACAATTTCTCTTTACTATAAAGATCGGTGGCGGCATTATACCTTGCAGTATTTAGTAGCATGTTTATGCTCTTCTGTCTTAATCTTTGCTCTGGCAGGTACTGCCTTTGCGCCAGGGGATCCTGTGATTCAAACAGAGGACACAGAGCAAGGAGGAAGACAGAAGGAAGCAAAGATGAAAGTGGGATACAGCATCAGTGAAACAACAGAATGATTATTAAACTTGAGATGTCTTATTACAAAAGGTACTCTGCACAAATGGGATTATGTCATTTACTAAGACCTGCCCAATCGCAGTGGGATTTCCTACAGTTGCAACAAATGCCAATGCAGTCCACTGGCAAAGTGTCCTTCATCCTATGCCTAAATTAAGGGGAACTTCCTTAAACCCCCCCCCATCATCATCATTTTGCTTTTAGTTTTAGTTTTGGATCGAGTAGCTAAGATTAGAACCTCTATCTGGCTTTCAATGCTATTCAGGCTTGAATATTTGCTGACTGGGATGTTGACCGTGTGCATAAGAGGAGGATCTTTTATGCCTGTGTTTTTTTGGGTTAGATTTTTTCTTCCATTTAAAATAATCTTTAGATTTTCACATGTTTACTACTCTTGCAGTAATGCTTCCCAACTCTATCCACAACTAGGAAAACAATTTTGGCTGGGCATACACTTTAAAGAGCCTTTATTGTTGAAATGACAGTGGTCAGATAGAAAGGTTACTGTTGCGTCTCCACTCTCTAAAATGCGAGAAAGGTAGGGTAGTACACCAGGTTTGGACTATGATTTGTTTAATAACAGAGAATTTACGCCAAAACTATCAATAGTTATCATTGTTGGGTGGAAATAGCCTTTAGCCTACATTGGATCCTAGTTTATCAACATGACACAGAACGAAGAAAAGTGGCATAGATATGGAAGACTGATCCGTATGAATGACAATGTTTCTTAGAAGGCAGTCTGAATGAAGGCCACCACAAGCAAGAAGATGAAATCTTGCAGTCTCAGCCATTTCTAATGATTTTCTAGGACACAATAAAGATGGTCAAAAACCTCTTATGTTTTCCATGTGCAGAACATCCGCATTTCAAATGGCTAAAACGAAATTACCTGAAGTGCTGTGGATATTCTCAGAGGCACTGTAGGGCCAGGCACCAGGTGAAGGCAGCGAGGTGTTGAGGGAAGAATTGGACCCTAAAAACAATGAAACCAGAAAGTTATTTTGTTACTAGCAAAGAAATCTGTAACATTAAGGGACCCCAGACGTTTTAAATGTCCACCCTGAATGTTCTAGTGATAAATCACTGAGATAAAGTGATACTGTAACTATGTGTTATATTGCGCTCTAGTGGGGATTCATCAAATCAGTAAAACGGGTCTAAGGGCCCATTCACACCATATCCAGATCATTTCCAGACCAGACCAGATTGTTTCCGGACCAAAAATGCATCCTAATGTATCCCTGTGCTATTTATAGCCTCTGTTCACACCAGCGCAGTCCGTTCCAGACCAGAAAAATACTGCATGTCTCATTTTGTCTGGTCTTGAATGCACCGGAACTGCGGGCAGGTTCACACCATTTTACGAACCAGATCTGGTCCGGAAAATGGTGTGAACCTGCACTTAACCTTTTACGAAACTAGGTAAAGTCATTTTTTATTGTTTCAAGTATATTAGAATGTACAGTAAACAAGAAGTATTCAAACGACTATAGTACATGGTACAACTAAGACGAGTAATTAAAGGGGTTACTTAAAAAGTTTCAGAATTGTGTCAACAGCAAACTGCAACTTGGCTTACAAAGATATCAGATATTGTCTACGATGCACAGTGAATAAAACCTAGGATGTCACAATTTCTTCTTTCTCATATGGCATTCTCAGGATAACAGGGTAAAAGGTAAGAAAATCTGGACATGGAATCTACAGTACCGCTAGAGGTTGCCTTTAATATGGTTGCCCATGGGAATACATTGGTGTGCATGCACAGTGTGAAGAGAACCCAGTGGGGAAGCTTTCGTAAGAAAGCCTGTGAGGCTGCAGACAAGGCTGCACAGTGAAAGCTGCTGGAACAGGAATGAAGGCAAGAATCGGGCCAGGCAGGCTGCATTTAGAGCAGTGCATGCCTTAAATGATAGCTTGTACCGAAGGTACAAGTTGTCCTTTAAAACATCCCAGAATACTTTTTGGTTTTGTCAGTCACATCTATTACATACATAAAAATGCAGCATGATTAAAATAACAAACCTGTAGGGGTGTCCTGCAGTAGCTGGTGGTCAGTATCTACGATGGGAGATGGGGCTGGACCCCCTAGCACACTGCCAGGGGTAGCATAAGGGTCGGATTCTGGGTCAATGTTCTGAATTCCTTTCCATGGCACACCAGGCTGAAACTCTACCGAGGAAACATTGGAAAGGTAAACATAGGGTCAATATGTTAAGCTATCAGTATCCATTATTAAAAGTAATAGAAAAAAATGGAATATACAACTTTTTAATGCTCTTTAAAGTGCTAAAAAAATGTGCTTGTCATAGCTATACAATTTTCCATAAAAGTGGGAAAATATTTCAGACTTAAAACCATGCACAAAACTAGAGCGAAGACAACAGCTGCTGGATTGATTGCCAAGATGCATTTGCTGAAATGCCCAGCCACCATATAGCATCACTGCTGGCTTGACATGACAGTGCCCAGAAAGTAACAGACACAATCAGTCTGATTCATTAAGGGTAAAGATAGAAGGTTAGCCAATCTTATTTTGGTCTGTTTCTTTTCCCCAGGGCTCCGCTTACACCATAGCGTTGTGTTCACGATTCTGTACAAATAACATATGCCATCACATAATGCAGTTAGAGTGGGGAAGGGTAAGAACTCCGGAAGGTTTTTTTTTGGCTGCCTGCAAACACTTTCTTTAATGATACCAGGACACAAACTCAAAGAAAAAGAAAGGAAAATTACCTTAATAGGGAAACGCACAGCAATAAAAGATGATTGAAATCACAACACTCCTTAACCGTATCCAACACTTGGTGAAAATTATTTTAACATAGTATTTTTTTTTTTAAGATTAAGGGCCCATTCACATCTGTTTCTCTGCGATCAACGCACACTATTCCACAACACACCTAGCATGTGTTGCCATTCACTTGAAAGGCACCCCAACACATCTCCCCGCCGCCGTGTGTGGCAACAAAGCTCAACGCACACACTGCAATACCATGTGTTGCGGTGCATTAGAAAAAAGTAGTTCTAACACATGAAAGAAAAAATAAAAACAAAAGATTTAAAAAAAAAATGTGTTGATGGCGAGTAGGACTCACCTGGAGGCCAGCTGGTATTAATGGATTTGTTTCCCATTTTACTAGGAGGGGATTTGGCAGGTAGCCAACTCTCAGCAGTTGGCCCTCCATGCAATCCTACAGACTCTCCAGACATCATTTCATACTGGTTGTATGGGGAGCCACCACGATTCTTTGCAGGGGGAGCAATAGAGCCTGTAGGCATAGAGATAAAGGAAAATATGATCTAAACATTTATGTAGTGAACCTTTAGGTTTAATAAGTAAGTGATTTGTACACGTATCCATTATTTCGCTAGTTATTAAAAAAAAGGTAAACCAAGAAAATAAAATTAATAAATACAAATAAAATTACTTTGGTCAAAAGTATAGCCATGTTCTCTTCCCTATGATCCCCATACATTGCCTATCAGTTGTTGGGTTATTTCCTGATAACTCTGCTACTGGCAAACTACTACAAAGCAACAAACACCAAATGTCTATACACAAAACTAGGACTGCAACTAACAATTATTTTCATAATCGATTAGTTGGCGGATTATTTTTTCGATTAATCAGATTAAACCCCCCCCCCCACCTTTTATTTAAAATAAAATACCAAAATGCAGTGCTACAAACAAAAATCGAAATGCACTGGAACGCAGGACATTGCAGTACCGCGCGTTCCAGTGCAGGCGATCACACTGCGGATGGGAGGTGCATTTGGGATCCATTGACATGAACGGCACCGCAATGCACCTCCGGCACCACAATTTGTCAGGCCGAAACTTAAAATGACTTTTCACACTTTGTTATATATTTTTTTATTAAATGCCCGTATTATATATTATACACTTTAATTAGTTCCATGTATTTAAAATAATGTGAATTTTAAAACTCAAAGCCAATGTAATAAAATAACCAACCCCTGCACAACCTAGGTAGTATAATGTATAGATATTTATATATATTTAACGTTTTATTTTTAACATAACACATCGAAATTGGACAAAAAAAATACAAAATATATATATTATTAGGGATGCACCGATGCAGTTTTCTCTCGGTATTGAGTACAGCTATTTATATTTTGGTACTCACCGATACTGAACACCGATGTCGGTACTTCCAGTAGCATGAAGCAGGCTTCATTACACGCTGCCTGGCTTCTTGATTGCCTCTGGAGCTGGCTCCATGCTGATTGGCCGGGATGCCAAGTTTGCAGGGGCAGTGGAGCAATGCAGAGGCACATCAGTCTCTTCTCCCCGCTGGTGTAGCTGTGACTGATGGATGGTGCAGTACCAGATAATAGATACCAGATAACTGGCACTCCAAAAATGAAGAAAAATACATCTTTTATTGACACATGTGCAAGCTTGCAGTTAAGCGATAGTTTGCACATGCGTCAATAAAAGACGTTCTTTTCTTCAAGAAATGAAGAAATTTGATCATGAATTTGGCACAAACAACAACACTATTCCTGCAACCAGGCATTTTTCTTACGTGCATCAACACCACACTTTCTTAATTCCCCTTTATGTTTTTGTCTAAGATAAAATCACAAATAAAGAGTGCATCCCAAATGCAAGGTACACTCTAGTTATAAATCAGGAAAATGTGGCCAATACAATTTCACACAAAATAACTACATGACACTTTGCTGAAGTTGGGACAGTAATGCTACAATTTACACTGCCTTAAATAATCACCTAAAGAACTGTCCATCCAGTGCAGACCTTCGTTTTCATGGCATCAAAAAAACAAAAACAAAAAAACAAAACAAATTTAGATAGATAGAATTAGATATGGGAGTTCTACATTCATGAGGTCTTTCCCTCACTTCAAATTTAAAGTACATGTTAAGCCAAATTGCTTTTGTATCTTTGTACTGTATGTGCCTCACTGTTGAGATATCTTTTTACTTCCTGTCCAGGAGATGAAAGAAATGACAAAAAAAATCCCCCAAAAGGGAATCCCTATCGAAATCGATTGTTACCGGAACAGTTGTCCCCATAAAATCATTTACCTTCAGGCTTGCTCTGGTGGCAACTCACAAATTTTGGATTTCACATTACTTTCTGTCACAGTGACAATTGCTCCAAGGACAAATAGAGGGGTCAATCTCTCCAGAGGACACAGACAGCAATAGAATTTGACAGAGGGTCTAACCCTTACACACACTATCCAAAACTACGAATAAAAAAAGTTTGTGCTTTACATACACATAAAATTAAAGTACGTTTAGAGCATTCCTATTCACACAATCAGATTGTATTGCAGAAAGTACCACCATACCATTCTTATGCAGACTGACATCTTGTGAGACAGAGGAAGGCAACCCATCCATCATTGAAGTCCACTGCTTGAAACGTGATTCTACCCCAGCTTCCTTTCCATAATCCATTCCACTGGAGCCAAAGCCTAAATGAAATATTTAACAAAACAGCGATATAAAAAAAATACATAAGGGGGAAAGACTTTTTGTTTATCAGGTCTTAACATGTCACGAAAGTGGAAAAGACTGTTGGTTTATTAACACTTGTTGCTGTTTATATTAGTTTGTGTTATTGCATTCACTATGAAGAGTGGCATATTATAGATCTGGTAGAAGTGAATAGGTACAGCAGGACTAACTGTAAACAAAAGATAGGAGGAGAGGCTGAGCAGGAGCTGACCATGCCCCATTAGGAGAATAGGTAGGGAGGAAGATGATGGTGACTGGGAGGGAGTCAGCGCAAAAAAAAAAAAAAACTTTACAAAGTGTCAGAAGGGGAAATTGGCACATGTGCGCATCTGTTGTGCTCATGCCTGTTGCAAGCATCCTCCAGCAGTAAGACCATAAGACAAGGACCAAGCCTCACATAGGCTGCAAGTGGTTGGCCAGGGCCAAGTTTCACAAGGATTGTGAGTGGTTGGTCAGGGCCAAAGCCTCACATGGGCTGCAAGCGGCTGGTCAGGGCCGAGGCTTACCTGGGCTGTCAGAGGCTGCTCAGCACCATGCCTCATATGGTCTATGAGGAGCTGCTGAGGGGTGATTCAATTCAAGCTATGCTATGAACCAGACACTTACAGGAAATATTGCCTCACATGAAGGGCAAAACATTCCAGTAAAAAAAAAAAGCTTCAATCTAATGCAATGTACAAATTCTAATAAATGTCACAGCACAAAATATATGTAAAATAGTTTATGAAACATGAGAACCTTGGATTATCAATTACATTATTAATGTAACAAATCTCAGAGAACCCATACTAACCAGAGCCATATCCTTGCATGTGCCCCTTGGATTGCATGTCAGAAATCCCCACAGGATCCAGATGAGACTTTGAACCAGCTGGATGAGAGGGAGAGTGCTTCATTCCTGGCTGCCTCTGCTGTTGCTGTTGGAGCGCACTTACCATTCGTGCCAACTGCTGTACACATGAAACGAAGAACAAGCAAATGTGTGCATTATAATGTAAATGAATGATATCAAACTTGGCAAATCTGATACTACGGGATTCAGAATGGCAAAGGCTGGGGAGATATGGCCTGAATTATCATGAAAGCCAACGGACAACAAATTTTTCCACTAGGCACAGGACATTATGAGGGACAGGATATAAAGAGGGATGTTCTCTTTTCTATGATGAACCTTAAAACACATCCATTATGCTTAGAAATCTCTGCAAATATCTACAAATCATTTGACACTACTTAAAGGGTAACTAAACCCAAGAACAAAAATGTAATATATTGCAGCTTACTCGTCCTTAGATTTTGTGCATTAATTTTTTTAGGCTAAGAACAGTTTCATCAAGCACATAAATACCTGCTTCTGCTTGCCAGAAATGCATTTTCCTCGTCATTTTCTGTGAGCTAATCTCCCATAATGGAAATTAACCAAGGCAGCCACATTTTAAGGCCTGCTTGGGCGGCAATCAATGGCTCCTTCCAAAGATTCAGTGGGGTAAGTGAGCATAGCAACCGAAGGACAGGAAAATAAAGTAAAA